TTGTTGACAGTGCCAGAAAGTCATTTACTAGTATTTCTAATGGTCAGGCATTATAAACCTGGGCTGTTCTGCTATTCAGGTTTTGTTACTTTTAGACGATGAAACAGCAGCAACACTCTAGTATCTAACAGCATCAGTAGTATATCATTGTTAACAGATAATAACAGGGGTTCGTTGTGTGGGTCTAGTCCTTACATGTTGTTTAATTTCACGTTTATGCATCATATATGCTTTAATAGTAATAAATGGAGTTTAGATAATATAATAATAGATTTGTTCGTGCGTTTATAGATACCACGCGAATAGATTTATGTACATCATGATGCAGTCTGCTTCCAGATGATGCACTAAACCAACTTTTGGGCTGTTTTCTCTAACCTTGTTCCATTAATGGCCGATGATTGTTTTTGCTTAGAGAAGGCTAGTGAGATTCAAGGCGAAAGGTAGGGATTAGTCTACCACCGTATGGATTAGTTTATTGCGTTATTTATAAATAGTCCTTTTCATTGCTGTATTTCAATAGTAACAATTACTTCTTCCTATTAACAAGTATGGAACAGCGCCGCGGTACTGTTAAGTGGTATAGTAAATTGCACGCATTTAGCAGCTTTGACTCAAGATCGATATCAGATAAGGCATGACTCCGCCAAGAGCAGATTTTGCGGCGTACTGTACCGTTCCCTTGCTTCTAGTTGCGTAAGGGGAGGCACTGAGATAAAGCCTCGGCTCAATGGTCTTTGAACTCTTGTAGTGTCAGACGCACCGGCATCATTCTGTTAGTTACAGTGACCTCGCGCTCATCATGAACGATCTTTCAGGAGTTTGTAGTCCTTGTATGATACCATATGAACATAACAAATATGTTCGTACGCCAGAGTATGTCAAATATTGCATAAGACCTCCAACATAGATCTCAGTACTGAATAATTTCTTTCGCAGATGTTTAGAGTAACAATGGTAACTAATTCGTTTTAATGCAGAGCATCAGGAATCGAACAACCGGCATTGCAGGAAGCACGAAAAACTTTTTTCGTTCAGTCGCATAATGGATTGGCAGAACAGATCTTTTTTGTCCGTTTTTCTCGAAAATGATGGCCTTCTTTTTTGTCATGTTAGAAACCCTGCGATCTTAGCGCTACGAGTGATTTTGACAGGAAGGTGGCTGTCAGAAGGAAAAATCGTGCCAATTCATGCCGCCAATAATTTTTTGCGTTGTCAGACAAAAACCGACGATCGGTGGTAAAAATGAACCAGTGCAAGAATAAATTAACACCGTTAAAAACGACAATTAACGGCGAAGTTCCGCTGAGGTCGATGCGCATGTTTTTTTGTGAGCCTTGTAATCGGTGGTTGCTGAAATCGTGATGGTAGGCAAGTCTTAGAAAAATTGGAAGGATCTTGGAACAGATGAAGTCAGTATTGAGATGCTCAAGACTTAGGTGATTAAAATGTGCTGTGGTTAATTGACACACGGTTCTTCATCATCAGGTTTAACGGCATACTGCAGCCCCTTGCTCGTAGTTGCGTAGGAAGTGAATTAGGCAGGCCATGATCCATTATACTTGAGCACCTGCAATGCCATTAATTTCCATGAAGTAGTAGCTTGCTTAAACGGCCCTCTTGGTTACTAGAAACAAAGAGGCGGTGCGAAACGCTATGAAATGTGATCGTCGAGGAGTTATGCGATATCTAACATATTTTGATGTTTATGTTATTGTTGTCATGTGTCTATCGTACTTCATTTACGGGAAAACGTCGGTACATCACTGACTACATGTTGTAGTAGTTGTTACGGCTGTCCCCATTACTTGTTCAGTCGGCTGCAGCGACGTCCCGGATCACTGCTTTCCATCTTTATCGGTCATGCGCAATGTATGTCCGGCCCAGAAATTGCTTCAACTTTAGGTCTGGCAGTATTCCGCTAGATTGTCCGCATTTTTTCTAGTACCATCCAGGGATCTGTGCCAAAGTCTTTCAAAATCCTGGATGTGACATCGTCTGGTGGACGTCTCAGTTCATGCCCCAGCCTACACCATAGTTCTTCTTTCAGTACAGTAGAAAATCGGATAACGTTGCAACGAACACTGAGTATATGGTCCATAATTCGTGTCTACCAGATGATTCGTAAACACCAGTGGTCGAAGGATTCTAGTTTCCTAACGTCGTCGACTCTTAGGGTCAAGTTCTCACATCCATGAAAGAAGATGACGGTCTGCAGAATTCGGCATTTCGTCTTCAGATTGATCTTCCATCGTTTTCATACATGCTTGACGAGTTGAACGAAAGCCCCCTGTGCAGCTGATATCTGTGCCGTAATTTCTTCTTCAGGTTGTCCATTAAAATGAATAGAAGAGCCAAGCTATTTGAAGGCGATGACTTCCTCAATGGGAGGGATAAACAGGAGAAATGACGGGTTACAGATTCTCTGTTCAGAAGGGGAGACAGGATGGAATATACCAGTTGTCGGGACATTATCCGTCTTAATCTTGTTACAAAAGCCCATGGCACTTCAGTCTCAAACAGATTATGCGGTCAAATAGCCCGGTGTGAGATTCAAGACCAGAAATGTGAATGCCTAAAATTGGAACGTTGCTGCCGTTTGTCTTGCGTAATTTTGCTGTAACGTTTAGGGTTTAGATTGAACAGCGTATTTAAAGTTGTCCCGTCATGTTGCAACATAACATCAGCTATGATAATTTTATGGTACCTACAGTAATTATGTGACCTTAATTGCATTAATGTATGAAGGAATGAATGCATTTTATTGCTGGAATATGCGGAAGACGGCTAGTCTGTCTTCTGTAGCTCCTTCGGTTCACACTACGTAGACGCGCCATTCTTTTGCTTTCGGTAATCTAAGGGACAATTTCAGCAGCCATGGCTCCATGGTATAGAACCTGCTGTATTTCTTTTTACATATTCTGCAGTGTATGGTTTACCGTGGTGGATATGTGCATATTTCTGTGACAACGACTACCGAAATACTAGCCACCAGTCTAAAAGACTGTTTTGGACTTTCAGAAAGGTTATTCGCTGGTGCATCGTCTCTGTTTGTAGCTCTTCAGCTGTCAAAATATTATTGAGCTATAGAGCATGCTACTAGAAGGAAGGAGGCTGGGAGCCTTCGCCGTTTTAATCCGAAGGAGTGATAGGAGACAGATATGGCCATATACCGCGTATTCAAGCAGTAAAATAGCTAAATAGCTAGTTATCTGGAGAAGTGAAAGAAAAATGTCATTTTTGTCGGCTGCATTGAAGACGTGCAATTTACTAGTAAACCCATATAATACCCGGGTTTACTTTTTATGGCCAGATCTTTTTGCACACGCGTGAAGTGTTACTGTTCATTTGACTTTGCTTGAACTGAGGAAGACGAACATACGCTCAGTCGAAATGTACTCTCTAGCATCTTCAAGGTAAATTTCGTAACGACGGAAGTGGTGTTTCAACGATACAGAACTCTGAGCTGAGCTTTAGAGCCTGTTCGACTTTACTGGTTTCCGCCGGTCATGACAAAGAAGCTTATTTCGGAAGGAAAACGAAAACTATACTTTCTAATCCTTTGGTCTTGCTTATATTTTGCAGACGGGCACCATTTATAGCACTGTGGGAACTTCTGGTACGGCCGTGAATTCCGTTTCTTTTCCTTCAGCAACGAGCACCTTATTTCAATTGCATTGTGTACAGCGATGTAACAAGTGAAAACTTCCATTTTCTTTACCACAGTGTACCCGTTTATTTATCTTGGAAAGATGCAAGGCGACGATTGATCCGGCCCGGCGCTCGAACCCACTGTCTCTCGACTCCGAGTTCAGTGTTGCACCAATTAAGCAACTCTTTTGTATGTATGGGGCACGAGTAGGAAGTACGAAAAACAATGTTCGCTGTCCTTCGCCATTATGATGTAAATGATGAGGTTCAGCAGCGTCGTTAGTGTCCAGCAACGTATTGTTCTCTTGGACTAAATTTGTGACAGGCATCGCCGCACGATATTGCTCAAATTCCATAAATGCATGGCATATATAAATAATTTTTTTCGTAAACCAGAGTTTGTCAAATAACGAATGACTCCAAATGACCAAATTTCACCGCAATCAGCACTTTCTCCCAGTTGCCTAAGGAGAAGATGCATTTTAGCAGGCCACTTCTCCATGATATTTGAGCACCTGTACTGGCAGATACATATCGCATCGTTTCGTCCGCCAGAGCCACAGCGCGCACATCAGCGGTATTTCAGGATCTGGTACTTATTATATAAACATACTAAGTTTATCTTCCTTTTCCCTATCATGAAGCTGTGGCTTGCTTACAAGGTCCTTTGGGCAATTTTGAGCAAAGGAACGGCACAGTCCGCTGTCAGATCTAGTCTTGGAGAAGTCTTGCATTATTCATTATACTGGGACATATGGAAACTTATTATGTTTATGCGGTAGCATATTAACGGTACCAGCGCATGAATAATCGCTAATGAGCGCGCCGTGACTCTAGAAGGCAAAACTGCGAGATGCACCTGACACTGCAGATCCCCCAGTGTTATGGAGCTGTGCTTCAGTAGGCAATTAGTAGCAAGGTGCCGTGCACTGCACTTTTGAATAACATTTTACGGTGTTATACGCTTATTAAAGATGGGTTTAGTAGGAAAGGTTGCCACGCTTAACCTAATATCCACTGGAAGCCGTTTTACAGCTGTATGATTTCTGTGAGGTTTTCGGATGCACAACAAAGTACATCACCAATTTCACTTGGGAACCTTTGATCTCAGAGGAGAAAATTCTTTTCTTAAATATAGGGAGTTTTAGAAGGTGGTCGATTGGGCTAGCATCGGTAGAAAGCACGACAGAGGAGCTGAACTTCGTCGACACATGCCTAGGTGAGGTATAACAGCTAAAAAATCGGCTAGAGGCTTTTACTGCCCAGTTTTGCGTCATACTGAAATGCAAGATCCTATGCTTGGTCGACGCTACTGCCGTGCCGCGAGTTATCATGTAAAGTCGTTGTACTTACGGAATGGCCTGCAAGTTTTTGTTGAAGGTGTCGACGATGTTCGTCGGAGAATACATCATCATGGGCGAATTGTACTGCAGATGCACGAGCTGCCTGACGGTTGTCGGCGTCAGGGTAGGAGTGGAAGTTGCGCGTTGAGTCGGTGGTACCGTAATTCCATATTTAAGAGCATCCTCGTACTTGTCCCCGTCTCCGGACGACAAATAGTTTGGCACCGGTGAGTTGCGGCTGGACGTCGATGGACTTGAACGGGTGATCGAGTCTTTGATGATCTGGTTCCTGATTCGAGTGTCAGTGATGTTCGTCGACCGGCCTCGTCGGTTGCTGTCATAGTGGTAGTTGAACGACGTCGACGTCGATGTCGGCGATACACTGGTGCTCCTTGTCTGTTGCTGCTGTTGATGCTGGAACTTGAAGGTTGACGGACGCGGCAACGACTAAGTACGAAAAAGTTTTCGATAGTTTCCAAGCGATCGTCAGTTTCCCATACCGTTACCTGATATTTGCCATAGCGATTTTGCGTCATCAGGGACTGCTTCATGATGTCCGCCAGTTGATTGTTACGCGGTACTTCGTCCTCGATCGGCGGTTCACTCTCGCTTGGCGAAAGTGCTGACCTCGTCGCCGTCTTTACAGGTGCATCGAAATTCGACTGCCGCGGTGTCGAAGAGGTCGGCCTTAAACACGTACATTAGTCGTTTCATGACGCTGTTCGCCACCTCAGTGCTCACCTCAGGATCAGGAGTCGCAATATGCTGCCCGCTTCCTTTAAAACCGCCAGAGCCTCGGCATGCGTGAGAAATTTCGCGTCCTTGTCTCTGATTTGGAGAATTACATCGCCCGGTTTCAAGTATTCCTCTGCAGCGCTGAGCGGCTGAACCTGAAACGATTCTGATTCTGATACGATTCTGATCGACTGTATTTGTGAAATAAGAAAACTTTTTATGCAAAATTTTCGTAATTAATTTTCTGACTAGGCCTAATTAATTTTACGTGCAGCCCGTAGAAACAAGGCACAGGCAGGTCTGTTTTCGGAGAGGATCTATTCCTTGTACAAAACAGTGTTCTCTTGGCGATGTCTTTGCCTCCAGACATTGCAAACCAGATGCGCACACAAACTGAGTTGCGTGGATGATATAGTAGAAACATTTGAGTGCAGCAGATAGCGATTGAGAACAATTCGCACTTATTAACTCATTCTGCAATGTAATTAGACGTGAGTGATGGTGTAACCAGCTACGTCAGTTTGTAAAATTAGTTTCGTAATACAGCCGTAGAATCATTGAAATTTTCAATGACGTATTCCTGGGAGATTAATAAGAACGGGTACATGCGTGATCGGCATATTAAGCCGTTTGCGGTAGTGGAACTTCCCCAGTTCCTGCTGATGTTCGCTACATTTGTAATTCTTCAATGCTTATATCGTCTTCAACGCTGGCCTACGGCTCGAATTCTGTAGTATTTTCGCTTTAATATAAAAAGCTCAAGGCTAAACGTCTGCAGTTAAGGTCATATGCGCAGTTTAGTTTTCTGACAGAGCTGATCTCATTTTCCAATCTCTATATCTAATGAGGTCATCGGGGCACTTTAAAGTATAGAGTCATTCCATATGGCGTGATCCTGCCATTGAACTCTCCTAATGCATTGAAGCTAGCCACTTTCTATCGTCGTTCTTGGTCCTTCGTTAGTACGACGTTCCCAGTGTCGTGTGACAACAGTGAAGTGACCGATAAGGTACAGGCGATAGTTAGGGAAAACGGAGAGGGATGTCTTCTTCATTCAGATATTCGGTTAGTTACCAAAACCAAACCTTCGTTTCGCTTGCAAATTTTCTGTGTCGGATACGGTGCGTGCTTCATGACTTTTGACTTCCGTAATGATATGTCCTATTACTTTGATTATATATTCCAGTTAACTGAAAGTTTGGGTCGTTGGTTTGGTCGTTAGAGAAATAGGCATAATGACCGTTAATGAAGGTAGATTCACGTATTAAAATAGCTAGAGTTTCCAGACCATTGATATAGGTGTTGTTGCCCAGCGGCATCATACTCTGGAAGGCGTTGTGTCCCCTGCTAAATAAGCGGGGATTTTCAGTAGCATATTTCATCCACGAATAGAGCAAGTTAAATCATTCGTATGAACCTGGTTTAATCGATGGAGAGGTTTAGAAATTTACACAGCAATTTTTTTCACTTGCTCTTGT